CATTCTGAGCAGAATTTCAGAATTTCTGTGCGAATTGTGCAAAACATTTCTTTTTATTCCGACACATGGTTTTGCAGCAGTGTAAACAGCCTCATGTCATGATAGAGACCTGATTTTGCGTACCGGCCTAGTTCAGACAAAATAGCTCATTTGCAATCTTTTTTTTTTTAATGAAACATCATGCAACTGATGCAATTACCGTTTTGGAAAGAAATTCATTTTGTTCTGCGCCACCTCACACACAAGATTGGTTTCATCAGAATCCTAATCCAGAGCAACTGTTCCAGGATGCCTTTGAACTCAGGCTGAAAAATGTAGCTCTTTCTATTTATAAACCAAGAAAAAGACGACCTTTCAGTAAGCTCATCCCTAATGTTGCACTTAGCTCTAAAATACACAGTGGAGCATTGCCCTTTTATTATCCATCCCTGTACAAAACGCCACCAGCTCCTCTGCAGTGAAAATCCATTACTCCTGGGGCTAGCCACAGGACTCAACAGATTTCCTCCATCCACCCTTTTGATTGATCGTTTTTGCAGTAACGAGTTAGGATCCCAGCAGGGATGGGGTTTGGATTAGATAGGAGCTGGGGGGAGGGATGGTGGCAGTGATTTTGAATGTATTTCAGTGATGCAATTCTTGGAGGGGTTTGAAAAAAAAGTTGCAAAACATTTGGTCACCCAGCAACAAGGAAGTCAGCAGTGGTTATATCATGTTATAAAGAATAGTAGTGCATGACTTTACACAAGGATATTATTTCATATTTACTGGGGAGGTAAGCGCTCAGTGCTCAGTGCAGCACACCTGTCTTAGGATGTCAAAACACGTTTTGGAAATGCTGCCGAACGTCGCTTATGTTTCTCCTACTGGAGTGTCCTGTCGAGGGGTCACAACACATTTAAAAAATCCTGAGGGATATCGTAAAGGGTAACTGTGGATTATACCATATTTCACTTCTTTGAACAGGTTCAAGTCTAAAGATTTTCAACAGTTATGCACTGGCCGTTCAATGCAACACTCTGAGCCCCTTTAAAATATTGTGTTCAGCTTTGATCACTGTACAACTATTAAGATGTAGCCTGAGAAAGAGCTCAAACAAGTGCAACATGGGTGACTACTGGTTTCAGGGGATTGGCATGAATGGGCAGACTAAGGGACCTCAGTCTCTTTAGTTCAGAACAATGGAGATTGAGAGATTTGATCCAGGTGTAGAAAATCCTTATACGTATATAAGGATTGTATATAGATAAGAGGGGACTCACTGAGAAGTAAAACAGGGATACACTGGAATATCTAATGCTTCCATCTACCTGTAAATTATCTAGAGGTGTTTGTGTTACAGGGCTGTATACAGCCATCAGAATCAGGAAATAAAACCATTTCCATAGCTTTTTGTAATTCTGATTCATTTGCTGAATCAGGATACTACTTATATCCACTTTGCGAAACATAAGTAACTATCCACACTCTTTTTACAACCATGTAAATATGCCGACAGTATATTATTTTCATAAATATAAAGACTTAAAATGAAACATCAAAAGGTTGACACAGGACGGTTGCACAAAGCTGCATTATAATGTCTAAAAAGAATATTGTAACATAAATATGTAAAAAATAAGAAATTATATAAGCTTAGTTTTAAAATTTTTTGTTTATGATTATACTTTTAAAGCACACCTTCGGAGGTATATCATGCTTAACCTGGCAGACATCAGTTTGAAAAGAATTTAAAGGAACTTTCATACTTGATGTCACAGCAGTGTAAAACCTGTTGATAAGAGATGCAGGGGTGTTGCTGAATGAGCAGGCTGCTAATCAGCTACAGCATACAGAAATTCGAGATAAACTGGTTTATTACAGGGGAAATCCCAGAGAGCAGGCTGCTACAGAAGGCTTTTGCAGACTGATAGTGTGTTACTGTTCTGGCAGGGCAGGGTACGAGGCGTTTGTAAGGAGATTACTGGAAACACTATTAGTTCCTTGTTGCAGCCCAGCAGGGATAGGCACACAAAGTCTAGAAATTTTCAGAATTCGACTTAATGGATAAAAATAAGAAATCAGAAATATTTCACATGGCTGTTCTGTAGCACGCACAGGGGGCTTCCTTTTGAAAACAAAACAATGTAACAGACCCTAAAATGTTTCTGGGGGACATTGCCCTGAAACCCCCTATAATGATGAATCGGGGCCTCTTAAGAACACCTGTTCTTCCGAACATCAACAGCCAATCTAAAAAAATGCAAACATCTACTATCCCAGCAGACCTCTGGTCCAGCAGGACTCCAGCGTTTTTTCCTGCCGTGTGTTTTTTTCGGCACAGTTACGCCGTGAACATCTGTCTGTCAGTAGGCTGTTTCCCCTCAATTTGTATGACACGACTTGACGCAGGCCTCGCCAAGCCTAATGGAATGAAAGCTATGCCCTGAAACCGTTTTCGGAGCATGGTGACAGAGCCAGCTACTTTGATGTGCAGAGCATGGCCTGACGATCTGTACTAACGCCCTTCGGATTCTCGCATTCTTCAGGAAAGTGTGCTGGGAGGGTCTGTAAGACAAGATCCTGTGCACACACTTACACTGCAACATGTGGCGACACCACATCACTGAAGAATGTTACATGCTAACCTTTGCAGGCACAGCTCACAGTTTACTTGAAGTCCATAATACAATAATCACATCAGCTCCCCATTCCTGCCTTTTGTATTTATTGTGGATTATTAGAAAGATGGGACCTGTTAAGTTAATCTTATTGGGGGCAGTGCCAATTTGCAAGACGAATTCCACTCTGAAAAGTAGAAAAAAGAGGCACATTTCAGGTCTTGAGCCTCCTTCAGGTCTGCTGTTATTTAAGAAATGTGCAAATGTTCAAAAAACTAAGTAGTGTCCTGATAGGAGAAAGCAAAAGAGTGGATTCCCTGCTTACTTCTGCCTTAAATTGTTATTTTGCCTTGTGACACACATGATTTTATGTAAGACAAATAGCATTTAACACTCAACAGTTGGCATCTGTTCAGACTGATTTAAAGACTGTTGATTGAATACAGGTGATAGTAATTAACATACAGCAGCTCCAGACACGTGATTACCATTGTATCACGTTAGCAGTATAAGTTGCTACAAATAACACCAATAGCATGTTAAACCTTTGAAAACTCATGTGAAATTAGGAGAGACTCTCAGAATGCTTTACAGCATTCTTGTAATTATTTCAATACAATTTTTAAAGTAGACATCCTAGATAGATACCCCAACAGAATCCTAAATTACAAAAACGGCTTAATATCTAAATTCTACTGGAGAGCTCCAGGTCATGGATTCTCAGCACTGATCCTGGTGACTCCCACACCTGCTGGTTCTCATTGCAGCTGAGATCTGAGATCTCAGTCACATAACTGAACCTTTTACTGACCTAATAATAGGATTAACTTTAACTCTTTAATTGTTTTCACTTCTTAAACACGCTGGCGGTTGCCTTTTAACTATTATGCTTCCTAAGTAAGTTAAGATCTCCAACGTTTGAGTAGAAAATAAAAGCTTAAAAAGGTTCCAGTTAAACAACATCAGTTCAATTAAAGATTCAATTAAGTCAAGAGCAGGTGTGTGAGTCCTCAGCACCAAGAAACACCTGCACTAGGTGGTGATGTTTAAACAATAAATCCAGGAATTAATTTTCTTAGTAAGATGGCATTCAAGTTTTCACTCCCCTTGGCTTAGATGAGATGTGTATATTATCCTCATTATTGTAAGTGTTTGTGTCATGAAGTATGTGTATTACCTTTGAGCATGCTCATATCTTTTAATCCACAAAGCAATACACTGAAAATTGCCATTCAGAACTGGAGTTTTTAGCGCACATCTGTGATGTGGATTTATAAAAATTAATCATAGAGATCCATTCATGAATACTCTGTAGGGCAATAGAACAGATTAGCAATAATGTCCTCACTAAAAGAGCTGATCTCTGAGATATGTTTGCCTGCTTTGATGTTTTAAAGGGTTATTGACAGCAGTGGAATAGTTAATCCAAGTGCCCGGGACTGTAGTGCCTGCAGCTCTGCAAGAAATACTGTAGCTCTCTTGGCAGACAGTGCAAAACCACTAAAATTAATGCCTGTCGATTATGTGTCCTCCTTTTGCAAAAGTTTGAATACAGCAATAAATGCATAATCTCCCGGTAATTGGAAGGGAGGATTTTGCCTAACTTTACTTTTTATATTAATGGAATTTTCATGCAAATATGCAGTAATCAGATTTTATGTCAGGGTGTTAAGTTCTGTCCATCGCCTTTCAGATAAATGAGCTGTGAAGATCAGAGTCTTCAGTACCCTCACGGTCACCTTTAGGATTTTTAAATTAATGTTGGCGTTTGTTTCCTGTAACGTGTGCGCTTGTGAACAAGTGTGTCTCTTTCTTTATCCGATCTGACAAAAAGAGGGGGGAGGAGAAATGGCGTGTGGAAAATTTTCAAATTACTTTTTTTTTTTAAAAAGGAAACAGGCTGTGAGTAATTCACCTTCAAGGCTCAAGGTGGACCTCTCTTTCGACCTCTGAGTGTCCAGCAGGCTGGACTGTTCTCTGGAGCAGACCCAGTGCTGTCAACCTCTTGACAATAGAAGGCCTTCCATGATAAAAGAAGCCGGCTGCTCGCCTGAACTAGAGACCCCGAAAGGGCCACAGAGGAAGGCAGGCCAGATAACGCTCCCCAGACATCTGCTGCAGCTGTGCCTCGGCACCATGACAGAAACCAGCACACAGGCAGCAAAGCCTGACCCCTGATGCTAGGAGCACACTATCTCTGTGCCTCCACCCAATTGCTCTGTACACTGAATTGGTTGCGTTTTCCTCAAACGATGTTTTTAAAACTGATTTTTGGCACCAGCTAAAACTGAAACACGGACTGCTCCCTCTCGAATGGAGGCCATTCCGTTCCAACAGTAATTATTAAAAATGAATTATTCTTTTTTGTCTTCCAGACAACAGAGGGAATCATTGTGGCATTCAGACAGCATTCACACACTCCGGTTGGATTCTGTTTTGACTCAAAGTCTCCTTCCAATTCCAGTGTCATCAATCGGTTTGTAAGTGTTCAACTGTATAATGTAGCCGTATGCCATTAACTTTTATAGAGCCGAATTTTCTTATGAGCCACAGCAGCATCATTAAACTTTGGCAATTTAAATGAACGCAGAAAATATAAAAAGTCAGTATTTCTTAAGAGGTGAGGTTTAGCAAATGGACACAAGTCCTGAAAGTGGATGTGACTGACAGTGCTGTTTTTACAAGCTTTGAAGCTTTTGCACATCCACCTAATTAGTCTCACATTTCTTGCCTAGAGCTTTTGCAGTCTTTCATACTCCTTTGACAAACTCCTGCCAAACGTGAGCCCTGTCACATTGCTACCAGGAAACATTAATAGAAGTGAGAGGCTGAGAGAGAGAAGGGAGAGTGACAGCTGAAACATTTGGCTTGTCTGGAGGAGCTCCTGCTCTCCCAGAATGCTCTGGGAAAGGGGCAGAGGTCAAAGTTCAGCAGGATACCTACTGAAACCCAACCCCCCCCCCAACATCAACCAACCTCAAATGAGACTGTGACACTGAACTTGGCTCTTTGTGGAATACCATAATTATTCAGAGCGGAAGCATGCTTTCACGTTATTTAATACCAATCTTAATCTTGCTCCTGATTTTACGCTTTCATACTCAAGTAGAGGATGTGGACACGTTGGTGGCTAACAGTTTTGTGGAATCTTCCTGGCTGTTTTTTTTTTATATTGGCTGTGTATTTGTTACGAAAACAGTCCTGTCCAAAAGCACTTACATTTATCTCCTCTCCTTCCAGCCTGTTAAATAATGCTGAGAGCTCTGCGTTGTTTTCTTTCCCTCTGGGGGAAATCAGAAGGCACATTTAACTACCCCCTCTCTCCCTCCCAATTTCCAAAAATAATCAATCAATTCAACAAGGACCCAACAAGAAAAATCATGATTAATAAAAAAACCTATCTAGAAAATAATCTAACTGACTATTTTGGAAAAGGACATACAGGAGCTACAAAATACATTTTGGCTATCTTGTTGAATTTTACAGGTATCAGTATGTAACAATCAATTCTCAATAGGGTCCAAGGGCTTTTTTACTATTTGACTGACAATGTTTCAGAGCAAGTTCCATATACATAATTAAACAGTTGGGCATGATCCTGTAGTGAACTGCGTGAAATACTTCAAAACCTGTTGTACTCAAAGATACATCAGAAGTTTTCCACCTGGAGTTTGAACCTACAATATAGTTATAAGTCCAGAACCCCAACTACTACAATTGTAGCTTATTATCTGTCAGTACCTGTATGGCTCAGACAAGAGTAATGTAATATCTATAATCCTTCCTGAACCTGTCACTGTCAGCCTCAGTGGCTGATTACTTAACACCCAACAACCAACTTGTTTATTCCAAAGACAACCCCAGCAGCTACAAGCTGGACTACCTCTGTCTCCAGACCATTCATCAAAGCTCTGCCCTCTCAGGATGTTTCAGCTAAGAAGCAGCTGTTTCTCTCCCAGCAATGAAGCTGTCTCAGGGACTTCACTGAATGTGGTGGTGCCCATTCAATGTGTGCCTTCTGTAAATTCCAAAAACACCAGGAATTTTTCCCAGATCTCTCATCTGTGCACAGCTTGAGACAAGCGGTCTAAATCAGTTTAAATGTTGTGGCATTACAGAAGGGTGTAATTGCTTTGCTCAGTGTGTGTGTCCCGGATTCCTGTCTGATCTTATTTGTTCCAGCTGAGTTCTGACTCGACTGGACCCGTTGTTTGCTTATTTTAGCACAGTTTAACAGGGATTCCAAGTCACTTCTCATTGTCAGTATAAAGTACAAAATTGTAATACAATTCCAGGACTGTGGCTCTCTTGGACCAGGAATTATATAAGAGCTCCCTGGGCAGGCTACACTGGACACAAGAGTTCTGCTACCATACATCATGTTAGAAGACATCTTCTGTAACTTGAAATCAGTCCACAAATTTAAGACAATATTGAAAAGAATATTGGGCTATACTGTACAAAATACAAGACAGGCTTTAACACGCCTGTAATCTAACATTTTTGATAAATTGATAAATAAGTAAATAAATGATATCACGGGGAATGGCCATCATAACATGATTACAAAAACAACAAGCTAGAACCCATAAAGTACTGCAAACCACTGCAACTCGATTTTAGTTTTTAGGACAATTTTGTAAACTAAATGTTTTGGTCCCAAAACTGAAAATAATTGACTTATAAATACAGTATAATAACTTGCCACTTAAAGACAGTTTACTGCTTTACAGTACGTGTGCTGATGTCAGCCCCCAGCACATCACTCGTACCTCCTGTTGGTCCGGCTGGACCACATTCAGGCCTGATCTTCCTGATGCCATGTCCAGCTGAGGAGTATTCACTCGCGCTGCACAGGAGGTCGTGTCCACTATCTCCTTGCCATCGGCGCCAGTCAGCTCAGGGCAAAGGGAAGGAGTGGTAGACGAGAACGCACACACGGAAAGCCATCTAGCACTAATCACAGCTGAAGCAGTACTGCCTTGCCAACCTTTGCTTGCCCTGTTCTGGGTGGTTTTGCTGCAAAATGGTTTTAGGCAGTTGCTGATTGCACTAATGTCTGTGGCCTGTTAATTTGTTTTGTTAAAAAACATTACAGGGTTCCTAATTGCTTGATATCACATAAACCATACAAACCATGATTACATACTATTTATGATAATGCTTTTCCCATAGCATTCCAGTTCTGTACACTTGGAAATGCATTTAAGTTCTTCCATAGGAATTCAGTCACATCTTGGACCCTCAGCAATTATTACAGTAGGCAGGCTTATTATTTTTTCAAGGTAAACTCTGCCTTCACCCTTGAGGTCTTTTCAGAGACACTGGATTTTGTATTTTACATATATATGTATATCATAACCAATAATCTATTTTGTAAGATGTATATTGCCTCATGTTATTTCAACACTTTCCTCGAGCTGGCATGCATACCTGTGTAGCCTTTTCTGAGCAATCTTGGACAAGTCTTGGCAGAAGACGATTAAATTCTGCCGTGAAATGTTTATATGTATTTCAGTGCCATATGGACCGTTTCGAGAACAATAAGACATGCAATACATCATTCTCAACAGCAAAGAATCTTTGCACAAATTCTGGCATGGAGGGCGAAAAATGAGGATGATTATTAAAGTTATGATGAAGAGCTGATAATGAATATGACTAGATTAAAATTAAAGTGATTTTTAAAGAATTTTATGCAGCCGGTCTTTTAAGATGAATTGTGCACACCAACTCAGATACATGTGGTCTACCACCAACTGGATTTTGAATTATGACCAAAGAAGAAGTTTCTAAGTGTTTTACAGTGCATTTCAAGTAGATACAAGGAAGACCGCTTCTATTTTGCTACACGTTGTGTGAGATGGAAATGCCGTTTGTCTCAACAGTTCTTTATCCGGCAAAAAGATCAAATCTTAAATTAGATTTACATGGTCACAGGAAGGTGGCTTCGGATCCTCATTTGTGGTTCAGCCTGCAACGCACCCCCAGAGCACCAGGCCTGAGCTCAATTCAGGCTCTGCTTTTCAAAAGAACAGCACAGTCAGAGCTCTCCATCAGCCTACTCCATCAGAGTGATTTGCTTATCAGGAATCCATTGTAAGAAGAAGAGCCTTGTCTTAAATGGTATTAGGTTGACAGGCAGGCTGCGTGTTTGACAGGAGGAAAGAGCTGGCAGCACCTGTCTGGAGACAGCCTCGTGCTGACTCACCCCTCCTGAGTTCTTCTACAAAGTGCTTCAGTAGCTGTGGGGGGAGATGTTATGATTTGGCTTTCTGTTCTTGACTTTTCAAATAAAATCCCTCCTATTGACAGCTACACATCAGTGCCATCTATTGGTCACTCACAGAAGAAGAACTTTTCTCCAGTTGGGAGATTTATACATTTGGGTTTTTTGTAACGTTACTTGAAAAACTTACTCCGATACACGGTGTATGTAGGTTTTTTATAATCAAAATGGACTTTCCCTTGTTAGAGCTGCAGGAACAAATGTTTCTGTCGTGAATGAGAAGAACAGACACCCCCCACCTGCCAAGACACACTGGCAGCCATCTTTAAATAGGATTAGTCATAATAATTCCTTACACTTATATAGCGCTTTTCTGGACACTCCATTCAGTGTCCATTCACCAGTGTGCTCCAGTCAGCTCACCACACACCAGCTCTCAGTGGGGAGGACAACAGAGTGATGAAGCCCGTTCAGAGTTGAGGATTATTAGGAGGCCATGATTGGTAAGGGCCAATTGCCAGGACGCCAAGGTACTGTAACACTCCTACTCTTTTTCAAGAAACACTCTGGGATTTGTAATGACCGCAGAGAGTCAGGACCTCGGTTTTATGTCTCATCCGAAGGACGGCGCCTTTTTACAGTATAGTGTCCCCCCTCACTATACTGGGGCATTACGACCAACACAGATCACAGGGTGAGCGCCCCCTGCTGGCCCCACTAACACCTCTTCCAGCAGCAACCTTAGTTTTTCCCAGGAGTCTCCCATCCAGGTACTGGCCAGGCTCACACCTGCTGGGCTTCGGTGGGCTGCCAGTTGCGAGCTGCAGGGTGATATGACTGCTGGCTGCAATTAAAGTCTATAGACAGCCACTTAAAATCTGGCTACGATTAAAATCTGATCAGCTCCCAGTGAAAGGAGGAACACTACTTTAGCATGCCCTGCTGATGACAGGAATGTTTATCGTGAGATAGTCAGGTAAAGAGGCTCAGGTGTAGTCCTACAGTCCAGTCATTGCAGATTCTAGCCGGGGATCTGAGCACACAAATGGCCAAGCAGCCCTAGAGCTGGGGGAGCTCAAGGCAAGGGCAGCCCCTGTCACTCTCTGCGGGAGCTGTTGGCTTGCTGTCCGGTCAGCGAGAGTTGTGCAAATTGTGCAGCGGCTGCCCGTTGGCTTGATTGTCATGGTTGGGCATGGCTCATAAAGTAGCTGGCCTGAGAGAGTCAGACTGCTGAAAATTATGAAGCAAGTG